TTGGAGCACCTATCATCGGGGTTGCTGTGGATGTGGCACTTAGTAAATTCGTCCTTTCCAATAGTTCAAGTATATATTTCTTCTGAGACAACACCAAGAACTCCTTGCTGCATTTGACTTCAATACCCAGGAAGTAGGACAGCTATCCTAAATCCTTTAAGGAGAACTTCTGGTTCAAAGTTTGCACCACTCCATCAATGACATGAGAAGAGTCACCAGTAAGGATGATATCATCAACATAAACAAGAATATATGTAGAACAACCTCCATCATTCTTAACAAACAGTGAAACATCAGCTCGAGATTCACTAAACCCCAACCGAACCAAACTGACTTTAAGTTTATCATGACAGTTCCTTGGTGCTTGTCGAAGTCCATACAGTGCTTTTTAAGTTTGCACACAAGCAAGCTCCCATCAACAGCATACTCCTCAAACCCAGGTGGCTGCTGCATATACACATCCTCGGTCAGATCACTATTCAAAAAGGCATTATTCACATCAACTTGTCTTAATGGCCAATTCCTTGTAACGACAATTGATAACATTGAATTCAATGTGGCAAACTTAATAACAGGACTATATGTTTCTTTGAAATCATAACCAGACACTTGTGAATATCCTTTTGCAACAAGCCGAGCTTTGTGTCTTTCAACAGTCCCATCAGGCTTCTTTTTTATTCGAAATAACCACCTGCATCCAACCACCTCACGTCCTGCAGGCATCTTAACAATTGACCAGGTATTGTTTTTCTGTAGTGCATCAAACTCAGCCTGAACAGCTTATCTCCAGCTAGAATTTTTAAGTACCTCATAAACATTGCTTGGAACTTCACTCACAGCAGTAGAAGTAAAAGCCTTTGGCTTAAATATGCCACACTTACTTCTTGTCATCATCGGATGACTATTCACTTGTGCACCACTCATTTCTTGCACCTACTTCAGAAGGATTCAACTCTTGAGCATATCATCATGTGTACTGGCAACCTCATTCTGTTTAGAATTACCAACATTTTAATCAGTAAATGAAAATTCACTTGACATTTGTTACTCAACACTTAGCACATTATCAGCAGCCTCCCCCATCCTGGGATCTAAACCTGCAGTAGGTAAACTACTTGAATCACCATTAGTGCTGACTACTAAATCATGATCAGACCCTGTGGTGCATCTCTCACCTTGAAGTCTGCTAACATCAATAACAATTTGTATTGAACCAGATGACCTACTGATATTTGATGTGGCAGGTAATTGAGCACAATTCTTTGCAAACGGGAACTGCATTTCATCAAACACCACGTGTCTTGTTATATAGATTCGATCATCATCAGCAAGGCATTGAAATCCCTTATGCTGAGTGCTATAGCCAAAAAAAGTGCAGGGTTTGGACCTAAAATCCAACTTGTGCTTCAAGTATAGTCTCAAACGAGGAAAGCAAAGGCAGCCAAACACTCTTAGCTGTCCAAAATCAGGTTTTCGATGAAACAACTTCTCAAATGGTGAAGCTCCATACAAGACCCTTGTACGAAGCCTGATAATCAAATGAACTACAGTAACCACTGCATAAGCCCAAAATTTAACAGGCATTGATGCTTGAGCAAGCAACACCAGAGCAAGTTCTATAACATGGCGATGCTTGCGTTCAACCACTCCATTCTGCTCAGAGGTATGTGGACATGTAAGCCTGTGTGTAATGCCTGTTTTCAACAGATAACTCGATAACCTGCGATATTCACCTCCCCAATCACTTTGAACAGCCTTGATAGGCAAATCAAACTGCACTTAATCATTTGCTGGAACATTTCGAATGCACTAATTGCTTGAGCTTTGTCTGTGAGCAAATACAACCATGAATGTCTGGTGCATGTATCGACAAAGGTGACAGTACTTGTAACCATTCGAAACATGTAAGGGTCCCCAAAGGTCTGTAAATACTAACTGGAAAGGAGTATCATACACGGTTGTAGAAGCATGAAATGGTAATTTATGGCTCTTTCCCATATGGCATGCAATACACGTTTTATTAACACTTGAAGGAAGAATTACATTTAGTTCCTTACAAGCTTTTACTAGGCTATCATGCGATGGATGTCCCAAACGCTGATGCCACAAGTCATACACAGATGTAGACAGCTATGTTGAGTAACTTTCTGCCTTGGACCTATCTTCAAGCGATGAATTAACAACAAAGGAATATAAGCCACCTTCTTCCTTCCCTCGAAGTAAAATTGACCAAGTCTTCTTATCACGAACACAGCACTCATGTGCATGAAATTCAAAGAAAATGTTGTTATCCCTAGCAAGCTTTGACACCGATAGGAGATTCTTGGTTATTCTTAGCACATGCAATAAGTCGATTAATAACAATACACGAGATGATGTATATAAAGGAGATCTACCAACATATTTAACATCAAATGCAACACCATCACCAACTATTAATTTACCTGGATTGTTAAAATCCACTGTTTGTGAGATATTCATGCCATCAGAAGTGACATGGTGTGTGGCACCCGAATCCACAACCCAGTGTTCACGAGCAGCTTGTGGCTTAAATTGAGACAGCTGATGAGCACCAGATTTTTTACTGGTGCTGCAATCACATCCAGTATCCTTACTGTTATTAGCAGCATAGTAAGCATTTCCTGATTCATTCTTTGAATAAGAGTTACTATTGGTTGTAACTCCAGGAAAGTCTTCATCAAATCGATGCCAACATCGATCAACTAAATGGTCATTCTTTCCACACAATTGGCATTGCAACCGAGACTGACCCCGACCTCGACCAGCTGATCGACCACGCGAGTATATTTGACGAGACACAGCATTACGATCAGATTGTTCTACATTCTTACCTGACACTTTCCCTTGAACCATATGCGCACTCATAAGAAGTGACTCAAGCGGATCACAGAATCTTGCTAGTTGAGTCTCAGCATCCAGCAACATGGTGTAAATAGTGTCAAGAGACACCGACTCACGCATAGTTGTTATGACAGCCACAAAAGGTTGGTACTCACGAGGCAACACCATTAGAATGCTCGCAACATGCGCTGCCTGAGACACAGCACTGCCACACGATGCTAATGCATCACACACTTCTTTAACTCGAGTGAGATAAACTCTCATGGACTCATCTCCTTTCTTAAGAGACTGAAGCTTGTAGTGCAAGCTAATGACAGCCGTTGTAGATCTATTTGAGAAGAATTAAAGCACCGTGCTCCACACCGCAGAGGTCGTTTCAACACCCACAAACTGAGGTAGAAGTTGTGGACTGATTGTTGACAGCAGCCAAGACGCAAGAGCACTGTCCTGAGCAACATACTCTTCATACAACTCATTTGATACAACCTCACCAGAATCACTAACCACCGTTTGCGACGGAGTTGTCATCGAGCCAGTTAGAAGTCATTCTAGTCTATGGCCGCGAATGGTGAGAAGCACTTGTTTCCACAACCGAAAATTTGCTTCAAGAATGACATTGACTTTTTTATTAGAGAACTCTTGGCATTCCTCAATACATTCTTCATTGAAGAAGCGAACTGATCAATCCTCATGATGATTCTTTTTCAAGCAGCGAAAGCACAAGAAAACTACCCGGATCGTCTAGCAAAAGATACCATGTTGAGATTCAAGGTTTTAATGGAGATTTACAGAAAATGTATGTTGTATTTTCCAATGTACCAACCAGTGTTATATACACATTTGTACTGCTGAGCTGGCTGCAACTGTACAGCAATTTTAACAACCATAACCAAATTCTAACAGCATCCTAACAGCTTGCTAACAGCCACTAACCAACTCACGCATACATTCATACTCTCGTGCAAAGCTAATATTCTAATAGCTTGTATCCAAAGATGGCTAATGTTGTTCGTGAATGCTGGTCTCCCCCTTCTCCTGGGTATTTTAAAGTCAACCTAGATGGAGCTATGGATAGTCATTAGCAGAGAGGTGGTACAGGCGGGCTGCTTCGAGATGAGAATGGGGCAGTGTTTTTTCGTTTTCCGAGAATGTCGGATCTGTTCCTCCAATTTTGGCAGAACTGCTGGCTATTAAAAGGGGTTTAGAACTCTTCTTGGAGTCCGAATGGGATTCAAAGGGGATACTTATTTTAGAGTCTGATTGTTTAGTTGCAGTAGAGTGGATTAAAAATCCAGGTTCTTGTACTCCATTGTTTGAATCTATGGTGAATCTGATTGTTAATGTGGTGATGAATAGGGGTTTTATTATTAGGCATATCAAGAGAGCTGCAAATGTTGAAGCAGATAGGTTAGCTAAGTTAGGGATTGGTTAAGGTTGTTTTTATGATAGTTTCTGGTTTTGTAGTGTTACTGGTTTTATTTGGTTGTATTCGGAATTTATGTACTCTGGATGTAGTTGGTATTTCATTAATAAAATTTTGTTGCATTCTTTTCCTCCTTCCAATGTCCGTTGAGCTATTTTCATAGTTTGACGGTTATGAAGGGGTTTTTTAATGAGGCCTCTTTTTATCAAAAAAAAATAGCAGTGGTTGCATTAGCTTATATCATTTTGATAGCGTACTATAACTTTTATAATGGAATTTAAGTTAAAACGACATGAATCTTTCTAATGGAACTTTCAAGATGAGTAAACATGGCCTAATATTGTGGAAAAGTGAAGTTCCACTACAAATGAAAAATCGAAGGCTTCCTAAAGTAGCAACAAAAGGAGACTATAGCAAAGGGGCCTCCTAATTGAAAATGAGAATACAATTAAATAGAACTACATAAAACATAAACTCCTAAGATGTGAGCTGTTCATGAAGTTAACAAGATTATGAACTTTTCGCACATTACAAGATTTACAGATCAGTTCCATTAAATGCTTTGGCAAGGCATATCATTTTTTCCAATCTAAATGATTGTTATCTTCATCATATTTCTTTATAAGTGACATCTCATTTTTAGGCCACTATATTTTACTTTTTACTCGATATGAAATATGTATTGAAGGGAAGTAAAAGTTCCTTACTCATTTACCTTAATCATTTTGTACACACAATAAATTGAACCTGCATATCCAAGCATATTCTGCATATGGCCCCTCCATGTTCGTGAATAAGCAGCCGCCTCCTGCAAAATATAAACAAGCAGACTAACCATTGCTTTCCCTGAGAGAAATCTACATCAAAAATGAAAACTCCAGCATAAATAACCTCAGAAATTGGAGATCAACATGAAGCAGAGTGTACATCTTGAATAAAACATTACAGGGTAGCTAGGATCATGACAACCATGTTTATCAAAAATACTTAACATGGACTAAAATTCAAACAAATAAGTACAGGTATTTTGGCCTTAAAACTATAAGAAATAGCAAAAGGGAAATATTTTTTACCATCTGTTAATATCAATATCTTCTTATTATCCTTAATTTTTTTTTTTAATCAATGTTGAAGATATTTTCAAGATGATTTAGAAAATGTGGCAAATGTAATATCTTGAGGCTATTAGATTTCACTGCTGTTATCCCTAGAAATAATCCACCATCTGAAAAATCAGCTTTTGAAGTTTTCAAGGGATCCAACTAGCTCTGAGATTTTGTTGGCACAATAAAAGATTTAGATGACCTTAAGAGACATAACAGAACAATTTTATAGATGAAACTAAACCTTAGCTTGTCGAAGCTCAAAGATTTCCAGGAAGAGTTGCTTTGAAAGCTCTTCCAAAGCTTGAACCTCAGCGTCCAAGGTTTTAATATCTGCAAAGAAAGAAGATCGACCCCTTCACAGATTAGAAAATGTTGAATCACTAGTATTATTTATGTTTCATCAGTAGAATTCATATGCCAATGTAAAGAAGTGAAATAGAACATCTTCCTCGGAATTCTAAAGGAACTTCGACACAAAATAGGAAAGCCACTAGTTAGTGGCAAGCTAGGTTTGATCAATATCTACACGTCAGCTTGAGGGGGAGTGTTGGAATTCCAAGAATTAAGGAACAGAATTTTTCCTTATTTCTAGGAGTTGACTTAGTGTAAATAGTCTCTTAATCTTAGTTCCTGATTTTTAGGAATCATTTCCTATTCTTTGCTGCCTACTTTCCTATAAGTTGTACTCTATTGATTCTTTGGAAGATAGAGAAAATAAGAATATGTTCTCCTCTCCTAAGTTTGTTTAAAAACCAAGTTAATAATAATATTATTATTATTATTATTATTATTTGACGCAATCCTTGAGTTCACACATAACATTATCCAAGGAGAAATTTTATTAACGTTTCTGAGTCATCCTGGAAATTGACTGGAAAACATCAAACAAAAGCTTTCTAAGTTGAAGGTTTTATGTAGAAGATGTGACATCACAAGTTCATCGGTATTGGAAATTTTACAGTATATTTTGAAGAGGGGAAAAGGAATGAAGACCTTGTTCCTTTTGATCATCTTGCACTGAACGAACGACTGTGCCCACAATCCTTTTAAAGAAGGATCTGCCCTTTAAGTTCTGAAACAACAATCTTTAATTAGCTAAAAGAGAATAGTAACTATAATCACTGACAATCACAAGACTTGAAAAGCACTTAGGTTTAAGGGTCAAAATGTAAATAAATGAAAGAATAAATAAAACAAAGGCAAGATAATAACTTAAAATTTGAAAGAATTTAAAACCCATAAAAAATTAACTTGATGCAAAATACTAGAAATGATTTTATGTATATATCCATTTCAGCGGCAAATTATGCTTCATTCATAACCTCAAATATTTTCTATCGGGGTCATTAAAGACCCAAACCAATAAATTGCATCAACTCCACAGTACTGATACAAAAGGAGCAAGATCAGTAAACCTCTTCAGATCCTTGAACTCGTTCCATCTCCATTTGACAAAGAATGATTTTCTTTTTCTTTGCAACACAAGTCTCAATTGACTGCATTAGTTGTCTCTCCAATGCCTTAATCTCTGATTCCTCAATGTCTCTGCCACAGTTATAGGAACGAGCACGTAAGAAATCAAAATCAACTAGATGCATAGAAACAAACATGATACAAGACATAAAAATAAGCTACACATGAATCCTCTACTCCTAATATGTTGATGCCAAAACTACAAGCTCCAAGCTTTACAGGGATGAGATCAAAGGTTGGCCTGTACAGACTAATCCTATTACTTTTTACAGTTGGTAAAATAATAATGGCTATCAAATTATCAATCATGGCATTTGCCCATAAAAACATATACAGCCAACACTTATCAAGGACAATGCTTGTAAAGACTTGAAACAAAATTAAATTCTTATGATTTCTTTAACTATAGCGAATTTATAAACTGATAAGATATAACTATAAGAGGAACGTCTAAGAGTTTATTGAGCTATTTCCCAGAGGTTTTTCTGCTTATAGGCTCAACTGATCATTTTATTAACGTCATTTAATTTACACTTTAACCTTAAAAAAAAAAACATTCCAGCACCATGAATAAAAGCCAGTATCCATTTATAAGGACAGCATGCCACACCTATTGTCCAAGTAAAGTAACTGGGAGACCAACACATATTCTAAAGCTGCATGCTAAACAACCTGACAGAGCTTTTGCAATCAGTTAAGATCATTTATAGTTTGTCTCCAATAACATGTTTGTTCACTACCGCTAATATTTTCTGTTGTTCCAATAATCTGGGAGCTTACAAATAAGTTTTATTATTCAAGTTCTGAAATTACTAGGTTGCTGGAAATTATCCGCCTATTATAGCATTCTAGAATCTAAAAACAAAATATCAAATTTTCATCTATGCCGATAAAGCCTTTTCCTCTTTTTGTTGTTGCATTGTAACAAAAGTAAAATTCCCTATGTTTTCCAACCATTTTTACCACATTGTACATGAATTTTTATCTTTATTTTATTTTTAAAATCTACCTTTGCTGTCGCAATTGAATTTGAAAACTTGAAGTCCTTAATCTAAAATTTCATACAAATATTTAATCTAAATCACACTCGATCATTAGAAAATTTGAAGTCCCAATTTAAGCCAGAGAAATTCAAGGAGACACATCTTATCCTTCCAATGTCCGCTGATGTATTTTTGTACAGCAGTGGTTAAGAAGGGGGGTTTAATGAGGTCTCGCTCTTTATCAAAAAAAAAAAAGGAGACACATCTTAGACTCTCTCTCCTAAGCTACAATCTGGAACAACCTCCAACTTCTCCCACCTGCATTTATCCTCAAACCATAACATGTCCATGACCTGCCACTCCTTGGACATGGCTACCAAGGATTCTTCCCAACCACGGATTTCAGCTGTTCTAATAGAATTCAACTGAATCAATAGATAAACACCTAGGAAATTTTCATCCATCCTACTGAATTTTTCCGGCATACGGCTAATAACAAGAAATCATCAATAATGTAATTTATGTCACACATAACTACTCCAATCATTTTCCCCCAATCCAATCTCTGAGCACTTATCATAAGTACCTGAGATATCTACCTGACTCCTATCTTCCTGGAAATCCTCCAAGTCACAAAAATAAAAAACAATGTACAAGAAGAATTGAGGCTGCACCGATGACTCATCATCAAGCAAAACACTAAGCAAGCAAGAAAAGAATGAACGAAATTATATTCTAGACATTACAGAGGGTAAGTGATTCTTTAATGAAGCATGCAGGAACAAAATCTGTTTAATTCTCCAGAATCCAAGAAAGAACCGAGATATCAGACAACCAGTACATATCAATACCTGATGAAAAGTGACAAATAACTGTATGGCAAATTTACAGCACCAAAACCAGATAGGACAGCCATAACAGTTACTCCGACAACACCAATTCGACTGACCAATTGTGGCATCGTAAAGAAACCTGGAAAAACAAAATCAAAAGGAGCTGAGAAGATGGAAAGCAGTAGCTTATATGTCTGAAACACTTGCAGAAAGATGTATGCATAACATTAAAAATAAACCACTATCTTCAAAACAATGCTACTAACAACTGCTAGAATATTCAGGTTTCCACCAGCAACTATTAGCCAGGCAGAAGCACAATCTTCTAATGAGACAAGAGATGTGGAAAAATGAAGTTTGTACTGAATTATCTTCTTCCCTTATACACAACAAATACTACTATAGTAATTTTATTTTCCTGTTTTTAAAATTTTACACCTCAAAAACCAATCATAAATTTCTCAGTGGAGAAAAATGGAAAATAAGTTCCAACCTTGTCATACAGCTAATATTCATGGAGTACTGACATTATGTCAAAAATCTTAAAAGCCTCCAAATGTGCCACAGTACAATCTAATTACATGCATCCACCAAAATTTAATGCTAAGCCCCTGAATTTCAGGTGTACTACTCATATAGTTAAGATGAATTTTTTATATCATTTCATCGAGGTAAGAAGTCTAGGATTCATCAGAAAGGAGGAAGAGAAATCCGTAAACTAAACATGGTAAGCCTATACATGAGAGAAAGATTGAAACTATGAACTTAAAAAGAACCTTTGTCAGGAGAGGGCATGGGAAAGTGAACACCCATGCGCCAAAAAGCATAGAGAAATGCCAACAAGAAGACGATAGCTCCAAGTGCGGCACGTTCCTTCCTCACACCTGACATGAACATACAAAAAAACATTAGGAAGCCTAAAGGACAATACTGAACCCATGAAATTCTTTCATTTGTTTTCTCTTTTACACATAGTTTTGCCACATACATTGCATAAAGTGACACTATTACAAACACGGTAACTACTTGTGTAGAGCCCTCTCAGCTCAGAACTCAACTATGTGAAAGAAGCATAAATAAATCGTAACAGTACATTCACCATCTTCCAAAGGAAATTGATTAAAAATGGTGATTATATTCAATGATGCAGACAGCTATATCGGGGGAAGGAGAAACAGCAAAGTTTCAAAGATGTTATCATCTCAACATTAATCCTCACATGAGAAACAACGAATCTATTATAACAGAAAATTGGGGTTAAAACAATTCAATTAGCATTAAAATAAAACAATCTTACCACTATTGCAAAGCATCAAGTAGCAATGGTAATATGGCAACATGAAAACTAGTAACAAAATCAGACAGAATAGATCCACCTTCCAGTTCATCAATCTTGCCCTACCAACAAAAGGGGAAATGTGAGTTAAATGAGAATTATGAAATTAAATAATTAAATCAATATTACTACCACCCTAGAGAGAATTAATAAAATGTAGAACAAAAGAAGCACAATCCAAAACGATTATTTCCCAGAGAAATGGGGGAAAATATTCAGAGGTTTAATGTACATCATTATCTTACAACTTCAGAAAAGGGGGACTTCTAATAAATCATATATGCAAGTTTACATTTCAAAAGGGATTACTTAAATTGAAATTACCAATCGGACAGAAGGTTAAGCTCCCTAATAGCATTAAAACCAAAACCATCATATTTTCTTATCATATTTCTTATAAATTCTAAAAGTACAACTTTATTCTTATCATATTTTCTTCCAGAAACTAATTATCATCTAAACATAGAGGTCACTTAGTTAAACATAAAGACTCGGAGACATAAAAGTTAATAGATGTTCCAACATGAACAAGCAAGCAAACCAGTCTTCTGAAAGAAATAGGAAATTAGTTAAACTAATGACCAAAAAGGTAAGAAAAGAAAGCAACTTGCAAAAGAAATGAAGAGGATGCAACCAATAACTCCATATGCAAAGTACAGTTACCAGTAAGATGCAATTAATAACTCCATATTAAAAGTACATTCACCAGTCTCAGGTAGTCCCAAAAAAAAGGAAAATTCAGAATCATCAGAGGCTAATTCAATTTCTTTTTTTTCCCCATTCACAGGCAACAATTAAGAAAACCAAAGGCCATTCAACTAAAAATACTCAAAATCCCTAAAACGTAAATGGAAAATTAACTGCTAACAAAGCACAAATAGAACAATTAATCACGACAGGGATATTAAATTCAAAACTCATAAACCCAATTTTCAATAATTGTATCCATCTCCATTTTCCAATAATAAATTCCCCTGAAGTAACTATTATCCCACTTCATTTTCTCTATTTACAAAAATCCCTAAAAATAATTAAACCGAAAGCCACTATACATATGTATAAACTAAGTTAAATTCTGAAAAGAAAAAAAAACAAAATTAAACTAAACTGACAAAAACCCAATATCTAAAACAATAGAAAGAAGACGCAAACAGAGAGAGTGAGAGAAAGGGCGACTCTTACTCTCTGGAAAGGACGGGGATGATCTCGAAAAGAACAAGCTGGAGAAGGTTACAAGAGAAAGAGAAAACAACACTGAAGATGATTTGAACCAAAGCTCTTTTTTCCTCGTACTCCTTGTAAAGCCTTCGGTTTAAGAACCAAAGACCTGTCCATCCGAGAAGAACTAGCGATCCGATTACCACCGTTCCTTCGTAGATCCCCCATCCCCACCCCATCTCCTATGCAATTTTTCTCTCTTTATCTAGAAATCTTTTGCGGTTTTTTGTGTTCTGGATTTGCTCCCTGCTGTAATTTTTTGTGCTCATCTGTTTAAGTAATTTCCTCAGGACCGGGGACAATGCTCATGCTGCCTTTCCTTTTACAATTTTTGCTGACACGTGTTTGTTATTTTCATGGCGTTATTATCAAAATATTACCCTTATACCCAGTAATTACACTTAATCTTCAAATATTATCAATCTAATACCCTTTTTGATATAGTGACAATAAAGCGTAGAGCCTTCATGGGGTTTTGACACGTACGAAAGGCACGGATCATAATCGCACCTTTCTTTTTAATTCCATAATCGTTCGTCTACCACATTGATTATCACTCGTCTCTACTATGCGCTTTTCCTTTAATTCCATAATCGTCCGTCTCCCACATTGATTATCATTCGTCTCTACTATGCGTTTTTCCTTTAATTCTACAACTGTCCGTCTCCCACATTAATTACCACACATCTCCTCCTTTCCTCTCTTCCTATAAATATCACACTCAACACAACCCTAAAATCACACTCAAATCTCAAATTCTCTCATTCTTCCTATTATTAATATTTATATTAAGAAGGTAAAATATTTTCTATTATATTATAACTATTTAATAATTTATTATTTTATTAAATTTTATTGTACTAATTTTTTATTACTTTTTGTAGTTATAAAATGGAAAGCATGTTTCTACGTTTATATGTGAATCATATCTCGTGGTATTTTACTGATACGGTAACAATTTTAAATTGTGTTATTATTTTAATTATGATGAATGTTTTATTTATTTAATTTTTTAGTATTAGTTTATATTTTAATTTTTATACTATTTAAATTATGAGAGAGATCATATATTATATCCATTCATTCGTAATGTTAAGTTAGTGATACATACTCGTGTCTGGCCGTATTTAGTCGAGGTTGGATTCGGTTACGTAGCGAAATATGAAGGACACTGTAACCTTGAATCCAACCTTATTTCTGCACTGGTTGAGAGGTGGAGACCAGAGACACACATGTTCCATCTTTCGTGTGGGAATGCACTATTACGCTGGATGATATTTTTATACATTTTTGGCTTCCGGTAGATATGGATGTGATTTCTAGAGTGGCGGATAGTGACTGGCATTCCTTGTGCAATGAGTATCTTGGAGGTGTCCCGCCTAATTTCAACAGTGGTCGAATACCGTTAAATTGGTTGGATACAACTTTTAAACATTTGAGTCGCGACGCCTCCGAGGAACAAGTTAAAATATATGCACGGGCTTGCATGTTACAGCTCATAGAAGGGGTCCTGATGCCCTACAAATCGCACAACCAAGTTCATTGTATGTGCTTGCATCACCACGCAAATTTTCACGTTGTTGGCACACTCAGTTGGGGCTCTGTAGTTTTGGCATTTCTGTATAGGGAAATGTGTCAAGCAACTGATTATAGAAAAATACCATCGGTGGATATCTCCTTCTTCTCCAGTCTTGATCGTGGTATCGTATGCCCTTTTTATGGCAGGTCGTGAAAAACCAGTTGGTCTTCCCACTATTGTTGAGGTAATTTCAATACTGAATTCATATATAAATAATTTTGTTGAGTATATAATGAATTTTTTTTTTCATTGAATATGTGGTCAAGTGCAAGAAAAGATCATCGAGATTTACTGGATGAATTGGAAGAAATTCAGCTACTCATTGATCAGAAGGTTGGTATATAGGTATGTATTTAAATTTTATTATTTACTTTTAATTATCATTATATAATTAGAATATTATTTTGATAAGAATTATATTTATTTGTTTTAGTTTCAATGGGTTCATTACTACTAAAGAAATGAGGATTTGCATCCCACATCACTTGAGAGGCCCATTAGATGTCCAGATCGGTGATCTCTCTGATATGTTATGTTATTATGGAGTGGCATCCTACTGATCATGTGCTTCGCCAATTTGGTTTCAAACAATCTATTCCGGAAGCACCTAAGAATCTCGACGATATACATATCATCGATAGATGGGGCAAAAAAAATTAGGATGTCTGCTGAAGCACATCGATAAGGTAATGAAATGGGAGGATCGACGTGGATGCATTCCCCGTACGGAACCCATTTATGTGGATCATTTATTCGGTTGTAGATGATTATTATGAGTGGTTCAACACGAACGGGAAACCATTCTACTTTTTGAGAAAACACGAGACGGGAGTATTCATCGACGCCGACAAAGACATCCACCGTCACAGCATCATACCACCCGACTTGTGGACGGAGAGCAGGCGCTTCTGGCTCATCCTCAACTACAACACCAGAACCATCACAACAACTACCATCTACACCGGTGTACATTCTGTAGCCGTTTCAGATGGCACTGCAGTCGTATCAGATGGCACCATAGCCATTTCAGATGCCACCGTAGCCAGGTCAGACTCCACCGCTTCCATATCAGAAGCCACCATAGTCGGGTTAGATAATATCGTAGCTGGTTTAGATGCCACCGCCGGAGGGTTTTATGACCCCTCTTGGTTGATATTATACTTCCATGCTTATAGATCTAGCGTGGGGTTTATATGCTACTTATCTGGCGGGTGAAAGTGCACCACATACACAGACACCTCCGATGTAGTTTTTGCACTTATCGATGTCAGTGTTTTTACAGTTTTCTATGAGCGGTGGAATAGTCAGCCATACACTTTCAGGTTCCTTATTCTATGGAGGTGCTACATCGTCATCCGTCCCTCATCAACAAAATGTAGCTGCTCTTGATGATGATGATGATGAAGAAGAGAGTGAGGAGGAAGAACAAGTTATACGAAGAAATCCTCATTAACACAGATAGCCACTGCTCTGTGGAACACATTCAAGAAGCAAGCATCGATAGAGTTGTTTAGTTTGTAATGTTTTTATTTAATTTTGTTTGTTTACCAACAATTGTAAATTTTTTATTTAATTATAGACATTTTATTTATTGTGTTTGTTAATGTTTTTATTATTTAATTGTTTGAATTATATCGTCTGCATTTAATGTTTCTATTTAGTTGTTTTTATTGTTTGAATTGTATCGTTTTCTTGTATTTAGTTTGCAATGTTTGTATTTAATTTTCACTTGAGTATCCCATTACTCGGTGATGCTCAAATGACATCAATTGAAAGTAAATTTTAATTAAATAACACAAACTTAGATTTCATAAAAAACTATTACATCATCACAACATCAACGGTTACTTGATAACAAAATAAATGGACATTTTTTCTATTGTGTCCTAGGTTTCTACAATGCCCACATCTTTTGTTTTTCTGGATGTCTCCCGAATATCCCAATCACAATGAATTCGAGTGGATTTTGGATGATCAAGCTCCCTTAATAAGGGTGGATTTGGTACAATCGGAAGCCAATTCTGAACCTCATCAGGGTCTTTCTCATTACCTATAGGGGGAACTCAAATTCATATGCCTTAAATACTTTTGAAAGTTGGTATACGGGATCCACAAAACAATTATAGTCTTGAAGCTACTATGACATGGGAGCATGAATACTTCAGAGATTGAAAAAACCCACAATCACACCACCTGTCTTGTAGATTAACTCTGATCGAGTTAGCTTGAATCCCTTGAAGAGGTCGCAGCATCTCTGTGACACGAAGTAATTCATGGGTTCTAGAGAAGATTGTTAATGATATTCCATTTGATGCAACAATTCTTTTTTGTAGATCTGCAATTAATCTTGGGTGATATACATGACCGTTTTGTATCCAAGTTTGAGTTTGTCCCCCGAGCTTGGGAAAAAGCGCTCCTAAATGAAAATACATCATTTTAACCAAAGCTGTTACTGGTAAATGAAGTGCCCATTTTAAGGTTGAATTGATAGCCTCAACCAAGTTGGTATACATGTATCCATATCAATATCCACCATTATATGCATTTGTCCACATTTCTTTGTTGATGAGACTGATGTAATTATATCATTCCTCTTTCTTTCCTCGCAAATCTTGAAGCATGGACTCAAATGTTTCAGGTAATAATTCGTTTTAAATTACGAATATTGTAATTCTTAATTGCCATAATCACTTCTTCTTTGGATGAAAACTTCATTCCTTTATATAACTCACCATCATTGACTGATGAGTTAAATATGTAGTCACCAACATTAGGCATATCCGCAAATTCTAGCCCGTACATTGCACCATAGTCAGTTTCATACATATGTGTTAGAGGTTCACTGTGTACCATATTTGTGGGAACTTCATCTACATCATCATCATCAGAGCCCATGTTGAACTGCGGTGATTCTGGCTAAACAAATAATCCAGTCTCAACACCATCCGCACATGGCTCACGAAGAGGTTTTTTTGGTAGAGATGAGGGTTCTTCTACGATGTCGACCTTTAGGTCGAAAAAGCTGGTATTGTATAGATTGTTGTGTCGAGGGCATCTCGATATTCAGGTCTGTAGAACTATGTTTTCATATAACAAATTAAGGAAAATGTTTTTGGACTTGAATTGAATTTATTCAAAGTTTTTCAAAGATTTCAAAAATAATTCAAAGTCCATTTAAATTGGAATTGAGCAAAAACTAATTGTTGTACAAGCAATATCGATACTGTTCTTTGCAGTATCGATACCACATGAACGGTACCGATACTATTCTTTTGGTATCGATACCATAGGCAAAGGTAATACCAATACCATCCAGGTAGTATTGATACTACCATGAATGCTCAAATTCCAGAATGCAAAAATGGTACCGATACCATGCAAGGGTATCGATACGTGCAAAGTAGTACCGATACCCTTAAGACCATATCGATATTACAAGGTTCCAACGGCTAGTTAATTTGAATTTAACAAAGGTAGTACCGATACCCCATAATGGAGTACCGATACTTCTAGTTCTGGACAGCCTTATTTTATAGAAAATTAATCCCCAACGACTAGATACGACTTCAAACTCATTTCAAGCTATAAAAACAAGCTGAGGACACTTGAAGAAGAAATAAAACACCTATCCAAGCAATCAAACACAAGAGAAGAGTTTTTCAATCTTATTTCATCTTTCTCTTATAAATATTTTTGTTCTTGTGAGCTTAATTTTTGTAAGCACC